GGCCTAGGTGAAATCCAAGAGCAGACTACGGGTCCCTTCTTAAGCCTAAGGGCCACAAGAAAACCCCAGCTGCCACTTCGGCATGGCAAACTGACAAAAACCTGGTTATCTCTAACCCTTAAGGGAAAGACAGCTCGGGTATGAACCCTATGGTGTCTACACCCTTGCTGCTCTTACTCAGCTCGGTAACCCGATAGTCCGGGGTAACCCGTGCCACCCGAAGTAACACAACTTCACTCAGTTACCCTTACCACCAACTCGGTGGCTCGACAGCTCGGGTAACCTATACATTAAATTGACCAGCTCGAAGTCCACTCACACTTAAAAGTATTTTTGCACTCAGAGATACTCGAAAGAAACTATATTTCATTAAAAAAAAAGAAACAACAATGCAATAACCGAGCTAAAACAGCTCGGAAAAGTTCGACAAACACAGGGCACAACCGCCCAACAAAAGACCTTTGAAAGATCGGGTTTATGGCACCCGGAAGCCATTAGAAGTCTAGGAAGAACACCGCCTCAGGGATCCGCCTCATCCTCCGGGGAGTCAGGCTCCTCTTCCTCCGCTTGATTCGCCGTCTCAGGAGACATGCCCTACATAGTGATGCCATCGAGGTTGAGCCCGGAGAACTTCTTCCGCACCAACCACCGACAGAGCTTAAACCCGGAGCGGTACAAACTCGAGCCATACTCCACCTGGAGGTCGTGGTATTCCTGGGAGTCTTTGATGTCCCAGACCGCCTTCTCTCGTTCAGCTTCCACCATCTGGTCAAAGTTTCGAGTCCGATCTAGAAGAGTGGACTCCAAGTCCCGTACCTACTGCCGGAGAAGCTCCCTCTCCGCCGCCACCCTCGATGACTCCTCCCGGTAACGTGTGCTCTCTTCAGAAAGCCGGGCAATTTGAGCCTCCTGGTCGCGGACGAGTAGCTCCTAAGACTCACTCCCCTTGCAAGTGCGATGGAGCTCGCCCCGGATCCTGTCGAGCTCACCCTGGAACTTCTTATTAGTAGCCCACTGGTCGAGGGCGTCGACACGGTGGATGCGCGTCTGGAAAGCCATGGCATGGATGGCGGTATTCACCTGCCAACAGAAGAGAAGATCAGAGAACAGTAAAAGGAAGCAAGATGAGAAAGGAAGAAAGGCAATAATCACTTACCACCATGCAGTAGGAAGAGGCGAACGCGGCGAGGTCCCCGGGCTCCATATTCCCCCAGTGAGTGACCTCGTCGTTGTTGATCGCCTTCCGGCTCCTCCGGCGAGCCACCTGGTAGTCGTTCACCCCTTCCCAGTTCCCCACCGGGAATAGAGGGTAAGGGTACGGCTGG